TACAACTCAGAAGAATTGTAGGGCATGTAGATCCATGTGTCTCCTCAGTCCAGATGATAATCTGCAAACCACATAGCACACAACACAGGTATTGTTGGCAGGATCATGTGGCAGTTTGGCGTAGTTGACTTGCTTCTGGTTGTTATGATGACCTGTTAGGTGGTTTTACATAACCGGCTTTTGACATCAGTATGCATTCACACACACACAAACTACATTTCCAAGACTGCATATTAGTTGGCAAATCACGCTTCATCTGAGCGTTCCTGAGATATTCATCCTCAAATGCGTTGTATATTCTCCCTAACAAATTGGCTATACTCTGTACGATTCAAAGTCAGTTCTTCCCAATGCTGCACATCTATATGCAATGTATTCAGATTATCCTTAAGATTATCTTTAAACCTCTTCCTCGGTTTGTCTTTTGGAAGCTTTCCCGTCTTCGATTCCTACATTCCCCATTTTCACAACCAGATCTACCCATCGCACCTGGCTGAAGATTATGATGGCTTCAATGCTATTGCATTCAAATCTTTGGTGGACAATAGTGTCAAGAATCAAAGACTGCCATCCTGTTATGGTTGAGTCTCATTCATTTTTAGACATCTAGACATACGTGATAATCGCAAACCTCGATGTCGAGCATAAACATGGCTAAGACATCATTGAAAAACAGAGACGTTCCTTGAACGAAGATGACACTTTAAGCCGGACACATTTTTACCACCTCTGGCACAAAGTTAGTAGATATGAGGCTCATGCATACCTATATAAGTAAATGTTTGCGTATGGTGTTCGAATTCAAAAGAAGCTGCAGCCTTTATTTCATTGATATCTATTCGGCTTCTTTGTGTATATGTAATGCATATAGGACACACACACACACACACACAAACACACACAAAAACACACACACACACACATATTTGTGTGTGAGCGTGCCTGACTCTCTCTCTCTCTCTCTCTCTCTCAATATATATATAGTGCATATATAACATCCAAATGAGATTATTTCAAATATCGGATAATCAGGCTGCAAGTGTCTGTATGTGTGAAATGCTGCAAAGAGTGTTTAAATCATCAAAATAAGGTGACAGGAATTACGACTGTAAACAAAAGAAGGATAATAAGTCAAAAGTGTACAAAGGCAATAACAAAATGTCGGAGGTGCATTTTTTCGCACCTAAGTGCTGCAAGATATATTTTGGGTTGACAGCACTTAGTTAACATCTCCAAACAGACATGTAATAAATTGTTCGGCCTTGAATATGGTACTATTGCTAGTATCTTATCCATGAAGACCCCACAGAATTTGTATCCATTCTTATAACTGGCTACATTTTTTAGTAATATCAAATAATATAATAGTTCTCGCCTCATATATATATATATATATATATATATATATATATATATATATATATATATATATATATATATACAAACATATATATATATATACAAATATATATATATTAGTAGACGAACATATATATATATATATATATATCTGAAGAAATATAGTTTTAAGGTGTGTTATATTTATAGGATAAAGTGCTCAATATCAGAGATAGAGCGTATGCCAATATGAATATAAATTGAACATTGAAGTCAACACTCAGAGGCTACAATCTGTTTCATTCTAGACGCAATCATCATATGCCTGACAAATGCATCTAGCATGAAACAGCCTGTCATCTCTGAGTTTTGACTTCAATGTTCACTTTGCCGTTTGCAGTTTAACATTGTTCTGTACATAGATGACAGCCTTGCATAACCACACTTAACTCTTTCAAAGGACAGCTTCCCTAAACCTGTCTCGTATTTCATGCAGTCTATATTCACTAAGCATGAATTGGAATAAAGTGTCTAAGCATGCAGGGGAATGCAGTTTTGCATCAGAGAACACACTTTTAAGTTTAGGGGGTTCGACGTTGATGAATTTTCCCACATTGTGGGAACCACCTTTTTCTACTGGGTCACGTGATGCAACCAGGTCATGTGATGCATCCAGGTCTCATGTGCTGAAATGCAATGCTAGTTTCAGATAGTTGACATCATGTTTGTCGAAAATGGTATTTAGACAATAAAGCATAGATGGAGCAAACAGTGTCGACAATGGAAGGCTGCATATTTGTGTTGGTGATATATTCACAATGTTTTATTTGCAGAGTAATAACATATATATAACTTGAAACTATATATATATATATATATATATATATATATATATATATATATATATAATATAAAAACCATCATTAGATCAGACGTGCCATGACCTCAAATAAATCCTGAATTGTTCTTTTGAACACAGACTTATTCCGATTCTGTATATATACATATCGGCACAATTTCGTATCGTAATATAAACAAAGGCAATTCTTAAATATCAGCCTTCATATTGCGCCTTCCGGTTATCTAAGAAATTTAATAAATATTCATAATTCAAAAGAAAAGTTTTCAACTGTCTAAAATAGAAAATCTACACTAAAACTATGAGTCATAAATAATTTCTGATTTTTTTTATAAAACTTATTCTTCAAATGATAAAGAACAATTACATAATATTCCATTATTTGCAATGAGTTGTTGTCGTCCATCAGTCAGTTTTTCGATAACTTTTGATTAAAATTCCGCAGGTTATGATGTGAAAATTTTTCGACGAACTCTTGAATCAGATTTTCCTAGAGAAACATTTTCCTCCATCAAAATGCTTTGCAGTGATCGAAAAAGATAATAATCGATGTGTGCAAGGTTAGGTGAATATGGCAGGTGGGGTGTAGAACAGAGCAAACGAGTTCCAAAATGTTTTCATCTGTTATCATTTCTCTATGCGGCCTTGGTGTTGTCATGGAGATAAACAACAGCTTTTCTATTGACGCTCGCATGGCGTTTTTGGACAAAAAATGTTATAGTCAACTTGCTTGACGTGCATTTAGTGTTTCATCTTAAGAACCTTAAATGAATACGATCTCGACGATCCCACCCCCCACACTCACAACGTTACCTTGCTTTCATGGAACTTAGCTTTTAGGGTCGGCTCTTGAAGATTAATTCTTGTCTATTTGTTTTAACATTTTCATATGTAATCTGTAAGGATATATTCAAGGAAGGGTTAATTTGGGCGATACATTCGTCATTACAATTGGTTCCCCACACACAAAAAAAAAGAAACGGAAATTACCTATGACTGAAACAAATAATTCAAAAATCTTCTATTCTAAAGCAAAAGGAAAAATCCATATTTATTAGCTATCGTCCAGTTCACACTTCTCCCAATTCTTTTAAACAGGATTAGAGGTTTATCCCTTGATCTCTGTTTAGGGTTGGGTTTACGGTTCCATCTCCTAAAATCTTTTCATCCTCTTTCACTTCCAGTAGCCCCCCCTTGTGTCTTAGTGACATTATCGCCTTGTTTTGGGTGAATTGATTAAAAAAAAAGAATTTTTAATAGAATAAGGATAGAAATTAAAGTTTATTTTTTAAATACAAGCATCACTTAATATAAGGCTCGAGAGCTACTCTAAGTAGAGCGTTACGATTGAAATGGTAATGATGAATGGCAAACATAACATGAATAAAAGAGGAAGAGCATTTTTTTATGGAGGATATATAACGACTGACACTTGTCTTGAAAAGGTTATGATTTTGGTTTTCCGGAAATCGCCACATTGGAGAATGTTCCACAAAGTAACAGTTTGGGTAAGAAACGGCCTGAGTGAAATATTCTCCTTATAACTGTATAACGGGAGGCTGATATAAAATAAATATTTATTTTCCCATCTGAATTTCCCCCGTTATATCCGTCATATATATATATATATATATATATATGTGTGTGTGTGTGTGTGTGTGGTTTTTTCTTGTATGACCTGCCGCTGTGGGCTTAAGGGTGTCCTTCTTCTCTGGGTTCTACATCGCAACTGCCCTTCGTCAATCTATGCCCTATCATTCACCGGCTGTCACGTGACTCAACGAAAAGGAGAGAATCGACGCTTGTATCCCTACAACTGAATGACGGGGAAAATATGGATGATTCGACTCTGTGGAAATAACATGGCTGGTCCTAGTTATAAAGAAATATCGATAGAGTAACAAGAGGTTTGCGAAGTATCAACACTAAAATCAATATCTGACTTTCACACAGATATTTATTGATAAAGAGACGCAAAAGCTTACATATGTACACTGATTTGTTTTAGTATCACAATCTTAAATATTTTCATTCACCTTCTCCGTCAGTTTGGGCACTTCGATGAGGTGTAATAGCTTGTCTTGCTAGAACAATTACGACTGAATAGGCCTTGTACCATATCTAAGCTACGCTTAGAAAATCACCACCTTGGTCAGTTCTTATTTAATTATATCTCTCTTTTTCGATTCACCTGGTTTAACCGTTTTAGATATCTACGAATATAATATGGAATTCATGAAAACAAGTGGTATGCTAAAAATTTTTTATTTCTTCTTGACTATTAAAACATAACTGAGAACATCAAAGAAAAAGTCATTACCATGAAAAAAACGCTATAAAGAACAGTTAATAACATTTCAAATTTTAATTATGAAAACTGCATTTTTAATATATCTATGAGTCTACGTCTTTTTGCTTAGTCCGTAGAATTTAAGTCATTAAAGTTGATTTTAGCGTACCAAATGTTGGAAGAATTTCTCATTTCTCTTATAAACGCACAGAAATATACAATAACTCCTTTTTTCTTGTTTTGATTATCCCACTCGATATTTACACGAGAAAAACTGACGAAATGAATTTTTTACAAATCTGGACACTGTGTGTTACCACAATACTGTAACTGATTGTTGATAAAATATATATTTTGAGCAAATAAAGCGTTAATTTTATTTTCTGTTCATTACTGATTCTTCTTTTACGATTTGTATGAAAATAAATCACAATTTCGGTAAATCAAAATCGCAGACGGAAAAGAAAGAAATGATGACTGTTGATAAAAAGATGACATCGTCGTAATTAAAAATTAATTAAAGATCGCTATAAAAATAGATAGATAGATATGAACAGGTTGGATTAGATAGATAGATAGATAGATAGATAGATAGATAGATAGATAGATAGATAGTGTCCCAACATTGTTGAACCGAGAATATTTCAGCACACCCTTATACATTGATAGATAGGAACAAGATGAGAGAGATAGAAACATGACGAGATAGATAGAAACATGACGAGATAGATAGATAGATAGATAGATAGATAGATAGATAGATAGATATGAAGGGAATGAGGTAGATTTAACCCGTTTTTTTTTTCTTTCTTTTTTTTACTGAATTTTTAAATGAGGTACTATCATTATTATGTGCTTTGATATTCGAAGCAGTTATAATCGCAAGATTTAGGCCGTTGTAGTCTCCGGACTTCTTCAACTGAGTGTTTTTGTACCCTGTAACCTTGAAATTTCCAAGAGAATACTTTATTCAATCCACCGGTGTGCATTGTTCATATTCCGCTTCCCAGTGCTATTTCATGTCAGCTAACACTGACCGGTCTTATTGTGTCACTTGTCCTTTTCTTCCATTGAAGCATACGTTTTGCATTATTCAATGAAACGTAGTTGGTTCCCTGGCGGTTTTAAGTTTGATCCCAGGCTCTGGTAGTGTTGTGAAGCTATATATTATTTAAACCGTAAAAAAACAAAAAACAAAAAGACAATCAAACGGAAATAAAAATCGGGAATTTGAGTTCAAGTTTCTGCTGAGTTTGTTACATTCACTTTAAATTTGAAATAGGTATGAACCCATGTCTTCTCCTCACAGTTATGGGTTAAACAGTAGAGCTAACTGGGTTCTTACTATGAATTACAACCAGTCTAGGAGGAGGAACTCTCTGCGTTTTAGACGGGTCTAGGAGGAGGAACTCTCTGCGTTTTACACGTTAGGTTAATATCTCCTCTTATGCTCTATGACTCCTGTATATGTAGTGCCCCCTACGACACTAATTGATTTCGACAGATGACAAGCATTAGGACTAGTGTCGGCATCATTGTTGTTATTAAAAAGAAGAGAAAAGAGTTTTTAAAGATGTTGTTAAAAATTAACAAGACAATTTATCCCTCGACATGAACAGCGCAATAAGAACAATATCAACAAGATAAAATAAAAGGTTCAGTTTGAAATTCCTTAAAAGTTACCTAGATCGAAAGACATAGGAAGAAAGAAGGGGGGGGCAAAAGAGCCAAATCGTTGTGATAACATCAACAAAGACGAAAACATCAGTCTGAATGTGAAAATGATGAGACAGAGTAGAACATGCGTTCCGAAGACGCTCCTCCCGCTGCCTCTTAGAATACAAGCTGCCACCACTCTCTCCTAATAAAACGAATAAAAAATAAATAAATTGTACTTGTGGTTGATAACATTTTACGTAGTAGTGTGGGGACCCAGACACGACACAAGAAGAAGAAATGGATTAATAGATGCAATACACCACCCGCACATCCAAGTCTCTTTCCGTGTAGTTAGCTGTTCCACTTCTATCGCATTTATATAGTTCGGCTGTAAATAATAAGGAAATATCGCTTCGAAATTCCAAGAAGTTTACTCAAAAATAAGATCTAAAGCTGAAGAAGGTCAAACCGTAGAACGACTGAAAAAGTTGGGGAGTGTAAAAACAAAAGTGCATGCTGATCCGAATGGCAAAGCATGTGATGATCGAAGGCAATATTTGTTTAAATATTATAACAGAAGGAGAGTTCTGATAGAAAGATTTATCATACTATCTATATCCCCCCCCCCGTTAAGGAGATTATTATATCCATAATATGCGTATTTCATGGACGGAATATCAAACATGCTTTCTTCTCACAGAGACATTTATGCCACTAAAACATACACAAATATATTACACGAACGGAAAACAGGCGAGTCTTAGGTTTTCCCAAATTGAGGATTGCGAGCTGGTGTTTCTTTATATATGGGAAATATATATTCCCAAAAGAAAACAGCACTTTGTGCGTGTAAGCTACTGAGGAGGCAGATTTACCCTCTGCCCAGGCCATTTCTAAATAAAGCAAATTTTCGGTTTAGCTGCTGTAAAAGAAACTGAAACTGACTGCCGCTTTCGTCACTGTATGGAGTGACGTCATTAAAATGCAGTTATATGACCCATGTTACTTATCTCCACCAAAGGAGGATAATCGCTTTCTGTATCCGTACAATATTAAAACAAATCTTTTCTGTGGTTTTCTATAAAATTTACTTTAACACATGCACATAAGAAAAAAATGTTAAACAGGTAGGATCAAAACAGGAAAAATATTTTGACGGCAGATGTAAAAATAAAATCTCAACAATCCGAACAAAACAGTATTTTTTCAACTAATAAAAATAAGGAAACCTGACTCCAAAAATAATCGTTTCTGGAGCTTCCCGGAAGCTATAAATAATGAATGCGGAATTAAAGTCACCACTGACACATCAACATGACGCTGGGTTGTTTTATCACGCATACAATGCAACAGGATCTTCTTAAGCTTTGACTATTTTGTTCTCTGATGAATAATATATTCGATAAGTTTATCAGCAACTACTTTCTCTATTTGAAGTTTATTTAATAATTTCCCCCAAGCAAGGCAATAAAGCTATTAAGACGCAATAGGCTACTGAGCGTTAGAGAATATGAGAAAAAAAGCATTATTAAGCAAAGTGAATAATAAAAGAAGGATAATTAAGAAGACAAGTTAACGATTGAGATCGCATTAAAATTTTTGAAGATCTAAGTTGACTGCAAAACAAGAAGTCGGAAGAGTGTCCCAGAAGCAAGAAGCGTGAGAACTGTTAGCATAGAACTTTCGGTTACATCAAGCCATTTCAACTGGAAAATTATGAAACCTAGTTGCCAATTCTACTTAAATCTTTTAAAAGTCGAGGTAGCATAAAGGAAAGTTCATCAGAACAATTGCCATGAAAGTATTTATAGAAAAGGCATAGAGAAGCTACATTACGTCTGTGGGAAATTGTTAAATAAATATGTACATACAATGCACATACAAACAATGGTAAGGCAAAAAAAGAATTTATCCCATAAGACCTTACTGACGATTCCCCATTTATTTAGGTTGGAACGTTGTGATAATAACAACAAAGACGAGAAGAATTTTTTAAATTGTAAATTTTCTTGTCATCCTCATCGTATTTCTTATGACCAAATTTGGTCGTGTTTCAAAGTGTGACGTCGAAGAACACAAGAAATGTATTCTGTATATACTCATGTATAAGTCTATTTCGTGTATAGTGCTACCTCTGGGTTTTTTGTGAAGTACCTGATTTTTTCATATAAGTCGTGTATAATGCGACGCCAGCTTCTGAGCAATGTCAGTTGGCCTACACGACCGTAGACTAATATTGCAGTACTAGTCATCATCCTGGACATATTACTAGCAAATAAATGGTCTTAATTTTTTTATTTTTTTTATTTACAAAGTTATCACAAAATGATGAGAAAAACACTTACCGTAAAATATCTGATACGAAGATTTCAATATCGTACTTTTGTTTTTATTCATGCCTGACTACGGTAATTCATTTACCCTGGACTTGCCTTCTACGTAGTTCGTTCCATTTTGTCGCTACATGAAGTTAAATTTAACCAAACGTACTTTGAGAATGTAGATATACCATTTAGTTTACGGTCACCGAAAATCCAGGAATTTTTAAGAAAGTTTACCTGTATCTAGTACAACCGGTCACCGAAACTGCATAATATTTAACCTCTTCAAAAAAATTACCTGTCTATAGTACGAACAACCCCACCACAACAATTAAAAAAAATGGCATAAAAACTCACATTATACGCATGTATATACATCACACTGATACTTTTTTGTTTTTCTATTATTATAATCTTTATAAAACAAACCCTGTATTTCATTTTATCGCGTGTATTCAAAAATGACGGTTTTCAAAATCTAATTTTACAGTTATTATTAATCTTTTTTTTTTCTCACCTATCGGCTTTGTAAACGTCTTTGGTTCAAGAGCAAAGACAATAACTCTCAACATGTGCCATCTGTGCAAGGAATATAACTTTTAAACTATTTTTATCAGTCACAGTAAGATAATTCTAAAGGAACATAAATCTACAACTATTTGTTGCCAATGCAAGGAAGAAAAATCTTAGATCTCAAACTTACAGTATATAGAAAAACACATATACAATAACTTTTCATAAAACATTTTTTCTTTCTTATTAGTTCGTCTTTATTATCAAATGTAAAAAGGCAGAAAGCGTGGTTGTCAGCAAAATGTGAATTGCAAATTGAACATGCCAAAATGAAGCAAATATAAAAATTTAAAAATCTAGGAAATATTTTAATAGAAAACAGAAAGTGCAGCACCGAAATCCGTAAGCGTAAAGGGATAGCGAATGATGACTTCTAAAAGATAAGCAAAGTATTAAGAAACAGGAACATCTCTTTACAAAGAAAAGAGTACTTAACTGTTGTCAAATATTAATCTTCCTATCTGGCAGTGAATACTGGACAATCTCATCGCCGATGAAGAAGAGATTTGAAACAACATAAATGTGGTTCTATAGGAGGATGCTGAGATTACCATGGACATTAAGGAAATTTAAGAGAAAATGGAAACAAAAAGTGATACATATAATTAACATCAGAAAGAAACGGTTGAAACTTCGATGACACTACATGAGGAAGGAGGGCTTAAAACATTTGATACTCACATGGACACATTGAAGGCATTAAAAGCAGCGCATAACCTACCGAAGAAGCTTGTGTAAAGGGTTGGTAGAACAGGGATTAGAAGAGGTAATGAAAAGACAACATTTACTGAGAACTACAATGGACAAGAAATTGGGGCGTGCTACGATCACCCACCTCCTGAAGAGACAAAGCAAGAAGAAGAAGAAGAAGTTCTCACAGATGAATTTCCTATTGTAGTGTGTTTGATCCTCACTGGATGTTGTGACATGCTAAAAATAACTTTAATAATAACATATCACATCGGGTAAGTCACCAGATAATGGGTGAGCTTTGGAAGAAAGGTATATTCTCCCGTTCGCATTTTCCCCATTATGAGCATTATTATGGACATGATATAATAACATCTTAATTCATGGGCGGAACAGAGTAGCTGAAATAAAAGGAATGACAAATATGTTTAGTTTTCATGTCTTATAGCACTAAGTCATACACAAAATTATGTACGCATATTTACATTTGTCACACGCAGAGAGACTATAACATGTATGCAACAAGAAGCAAAGTGAAACGAAACGAAACGAAAAAAGACATCTTTACTTTTGAAAATTCCCAACAGGAATTGGAGATGCTGGAGATTCTTCTGTATTTTTGGGTTAGTCATATTTAGGATTCCAGATTCAAGAAGGTCGAATTAATCTGCTATGTCGTTAGCGAGGAAATCTTCAGCAAACGGGAAAACGGCGAGTCATGAGTTTTCCTAAATTGAGGATTGCGAGCCGGAGATAATTTCTATATCTGGTGAAGACATATTTCCATAGGTAAACGGCGTCAAGGGCTTATAAGCTGTACCACGCTGGCCCGGTCAGAACGATCAATTCATGTCTTTACATCAGCCAGTTAACTGACTGACGACTATTGGCCCAAAGGAGATAATCGACTTTTGTATCACGACACAACTGAAATCGCTTGTTGGATAAGACTAAATAATATTAACACTCTAAATAATTCTAAAAACATTCGTTGCTTCCTCGACCTCTAATGCCACGTCCACGGAGTCGAATCACACTTCATGTCCTCCGTAGTTTAAATGTTTTTTCCCCCAAGAACCGCTAGTTTGTGAAACATATTCCCACGTAAAGGGTTCCAAGATCACAAGAATCTAAAACACCTAGACAAAAGGAAATCATTATCTATCCTCCTTATCCTCATAATCTTAATGTCCTAGCACCTCTTTTTTTCATTCAATATCAGATCTTATTCATTATAACCATTTTAAGCAGAGCCGGTGCTAGGGTCCCCCCACTACGAAACTTTTATACGGGATGCCCCTCTCTACTACATGTCAAAATCCTCGAAGGACAATTGGAGGGAGTAGGCAGTGTTTTTTTTAAACTACTAAAAATCAGGGAATTATCCGATTTAAATGAAAATTCCAGTACATATTCATTAATTATTTACTTTTATGATGAATACGTTTTTTCATTTAAAAAGAATCTGAGAAAATGTCATTGTTTCTGTAATAACCACCCATATTATCCTGACTTTTATTTACTCGAAAAAAAATGTTTAAGTTGCAAATTTTTATATTCCCATAAAGGAAAATGCTGAATTTTTTTTTTTCAAAAAATTCCAACACAACGCTTGAAAAAACATTCCCGATAAACTGAATTTTCTTAATAAAAGCCAAAAAACAAAAAAAAAAAAATGGTGTTAATGCATCAAAGGTCCTGATGTATTTACTGTTTCGTCGATCGTATATGACGAATGAGATAATCTGCAGTTTACATTTACATTGATACATGGTTTAACGCCTCTTTCACTTGGTCGGGTCATGCATTTGCACCCCCCCCCAAAAAAAAACTCAAAAAATGCTCCCTCTAATACGATTCATAGCTAAATAAACGCATAAATTGATTTAAAAGAACTGTTCAGAAAGAAAATTACAATTTAAAAAAAAAAAAAGAAAAGAAGTTACTGAAATTAGAATTTCTGCCCCACTCCCCAGTAGTCATGGGACCCGCACGCGGTTGAGAGATTCGGGGGTAGTAAGCACCGTCCCTGTCGATTATTATAGTTAATATAGATAGAAAAAAGTAAAAAGTACAAAAAGGAAAAGAAAAAAAAACTAAAATAAAATAAAACGCACCGCACCACACATGCAGATACACGATGTTTATTATTAGTTGATGACTGACAATAACGTCAGTTTAAATATAATTAAACAAATGGCGGATGGCAATAAAACTAAAACAGTGCTGAAAAAATGGTAGAGGTCAAAAAACGCCCCCACCCTCTCGTTGGGGATAAGACACACCGACACTGACTTTAAGGGTAACCGTCTACCTTGTGTGCATGTCGCACCTTTTATGAGATGAATTTAGGATAATAAAAAGAGAAAACATACTTAGAAAGAAATATGAATATAAGGGAGGTAACTTCGTATGATTTTGGAAATGATTTCTCCAGTGTAATGATAATATATGGCGATTATGGCGGGCCTGTTAAAATGTACTAAATTTATTCCAGACAAAAATCAGTCAAATGATCTGTTTAGATTGAACAACTCACAAGACAAATAATGTAACTGAAAGAAAAAAACTGAACGAACGGGATGAGAAAAAAAATAAAAAAAATGACACAAGCTTTTATATTAAAAAGGTTATACCAGCCATGCCATAGATTATACATTTGAACACGAAACAATAGATTAAAATTCGAATTATTTCTTTAGTGTGCTGAATTAAAAGAGGTGTGACTTTCAAGATTTGTTTTTTCAGAATAGGACACGTTACATAGGTTTAAAGATTTTCCGCAAAGATCAATAATAAAAATAGATAGATAGATAGATAGATAGATAGATAGATAGATAAAAATTTGTGGGTGTATGTATTTTTGTTGGACCAATATTTTTTTCTGCAGTTTTGGTGCAGTGTGTATGTGTATGTGTGTGTGCTCACGCGCGTGTATGTGTGTCTACCTTGTTGGGCTAATAATTTTTCAACACTTCTTCGTAGATAGAAATGACAAACATAGATAGATAGATAGATAGATAGATAGATAGATAGATAGATAGGAAGGAAGGAAGGATGGAAGGAAGGAATAGAAGGAGCAAACGAACTAACGAATGGACAGATTAATATAGATAGAGCTTGAGAAGTAAAGAAATCGGTTTCAACTCTCCATACAAAAGTGAAACTGTTTTGCGCCAAAATTACAGAAGAGTCACAGAATGGCGTTCAACTTTGAAGATTCTCTCACATGGAACGAAGGCACCAAATGCAACTAGGTAGAGAACTACAGTCTACTATGTCTCATCAAATACGATTTTTTTAATCGATTTGATTTCTTCACAAAGCCAAAACATTTTTTCTATTAATTTGTCTACATCGAAATCCATTCATGCGTATTGTTTTTAGATTTTATGAAAAATATGTGCGGGGTTCTATGAGCATAAGAAAAGGCTAGAGTTCATGAGTTTATGTAGGAAATATAACGTTTAACCTTAGACATGAAGAGGTCAAAATTGTAATGATTGGGAAAACTCCCTCTTGGGAGTCTGTTCCACAAAGCATCATTTCTTGGGTAGAAGCTGCCTGAAAGGAACTTACTCCTTATTAAAGGAATACGAAGAGAATGAGGATGATTTATACTTGTGTACGTGGCGAGGCGTGTGCCAAATCTAATTGTCAGGGCTGGTGGGACTAAAGAATGCCAGAGAATGTCAGAACACATGCCATAAAAATAGCGATAGAGCAACGAGACTCTACGTGGCCTTTTGGGTGATTAATTATTATCCATCCTACAGTCCCTTTCCCAACGACGCTAGCCTCCAACTACTCTATTGCTATTTCGATGATATATATTCTGACCAGCTACATTCCTTAGTCCCCCCACTGCTGACCTTTGCAACTGGGCTTCTCTATGCCACGTACATAGTAATTCCTTTTTTATATTCCATTAATAAGAACTAAGTTTCACTCGGAACAGATAATTTGTAGTACAGACTTCCGACAGGATGTTTTTCCAGTTACTACAATCTTGACCTCTTCATGTCTACGGTTAACAACGATGGAGAAAGCTAACTCTTTCAATATTGGCTGCTTTTCTTGTATTACAACCGCCTCCAGAATTTAGAGCCTTTCTTTGCATTGAGTTCTATATAATATTTTGATGTTATCTACTAAAATGTGTTTTATACTAATATTATTTTGCTTATTTGTGATATGTTAATTTATATGTGATACCTTTTTAGATTTGTATGTAGTTTCTCTTGTTTGAGTTCAAAGGAAAGAACGATTTGTTCAAGATTATGTCAAAATTGTCCATTGTTCTTATCTTTGGTTCTAGCGGTTTCACAGGTCTTCTTCAGAAAAAAACACATTTGTCATGAGAAAATAGCATGATGAACACATATTAACATCATATTAGTGTTTCTGAAAAGGTATTGTTTATGCAGTAGATGCATGTTGCAGAAATTGCATCTAATTTGACTAAAAGCCGTGGCAACAATTTTTTTCTAGGTACATCGACAATTCATTAAAAAAAAAACATAGCATAATAAAAAAAGCCGTAAACTTTATAAAAACAAACCTTTTATTGTCAGAATGTTTATGTTATTATTAAGAGAAACGACGAAAGTATTTTTTGATTATTTTTTTATTAATAAAATACTTTGATCTCTCTTAATAACATAAACATTTCGATGATAAAAGTTTGTTTTTATCAAGTTTGGGGCCTTTTTTAATCATGCTATGCTTTTTTTCAGTGTATTATTGGAGGTAAACGTCGGTTCGTTGGTAATAGTCAACGGCCCTCCCACACTGCAAGTAACCCAACTTTAATTGAACTTCAATAATTTTTGGTCTTTTCCAGAAAAAAGGTAGAAATTAGATTTTTTATTTTTTATTTCAGCTATTTAGTTTTACAAATTCTGTGCTCAGGATATAATATTAGGTAATGCTTACAAATCCTAACTTTTTATAGATCACAAAAGCTCTAATAAATGTGTTCTCAGAATATGCGCATTGATAAATTAATCAAAGGGAGTTAATTTAGTATTTCGAATATGCAATAATTAATGATATTACATATTTGATTTTAGAAAATGAAAAGAATGAATGAATTATTTTATTTCCAAATTATTATAAAAATATAGATAGATGCTGACTTGGGCGGGATTAAAACTTTATATGCCCAAAGCTTATTTTAAGGGAGACAAGCGTAATAAACATTAGCGGAATTCTCTCCCTTGGGTTACTTTTTATTTTGAATATAACAATAAATAGTTTTTAAAAATATTTGTCTTAACTGAAAAGAATACTGACTGACACTAACAGATAAATATAAAATAAGTTTATGCAACATGAAAATTGAACCATTTTGAATATTAATATTCCTGTGTCACATTTCGCCAAATAATCATTGTTTTTTATTGCTTTCATCAACTACGAATTTTTTAATCGATTTGATTTCTTCACGAAACCGAAAGATTAAAGAGAAATTTGTAGCGATATAAATTTTTGATCGTCCGAAGTGACTGAAAAATATATGAAATCTTTTAATATTTAAATAATTGCGCACAGACACACACAGACACCCACGGGTACACAGATGCACACACCACTATCAAAGCATTTCTTTACATTTATATTACCTTCTGCAAGTTTTCAGCTCTAGAGTGTATTCCATCACAAAAGAACGATTCTGCTTTTTGGGGTTTTTTTTTCTGTTAATTTGTCTACATTGAAATCCATTCATGTGCATTGTTTTATATTTTATGGGAAATATGTATGAATTTCCATTTTGTATCATGCTTCATGCCAAACTCTTTTTGCAAATTTCTTACGGTAAGATGTTATTTAGTGATTCAATTGTTGCTATCATTACAGGTCAATAAACAAATAAATTTGACGGTTTGTAGTGGACTACTCACATCACATGCTTATTTTCAAAAGGGAGTGTGTGACTGGACAAAATTGCTCACTTTTCTCATGTTTTGTTATGTGTTACGCATAGGAGTTTGAGAGTATTTAACAGGTTTTAACAGTTCACTTCGTTGTTAGAGTGCCTGCTTTTACATACAACGTATTTATATATTTGTAGGATGATAGGGAGTTATTGGTTGTAAAGTTTTAGTATAGTCGATTAAAGAAACAGAAAGAGATAGGAAATGTAGATTCAATTTTAATTAAGTGTTCGTTTTAATCTTTTTTGATTGGGAAAATTTTGAGTTTGTTTTTCTTTTTTTTTCTTTTCAATTTATCCGCGTCTCCTTATTCTAGCATTTTGATAAACTATTTGATTTTTATTTCTCTCTTTATTCACCAATTTTCGTTTACTCATTACCGTGTTATGATACCTCTATATACAAAAGAGACTAATTTTACAGTAAAGGCTAAAATATTTAAACGTATTGAATTTATACCAACTGATTGGATTGATTAATATTTTGACACGTTTTAGAATTTTAATCAGATGAGTACATCGTATTGTCAAAATAGGTCGAGAATGTTTGATTTCAGTCGACGGGCCGGTTGCGGATTTGAATCAACCACAAACAAAGAAAAAGTCGAGAATGATTTTTAAATATAAAAATATAAAAAAAAATTTTCGTGTTATTTATAAATAATTTTTTCTCAACATGTATAAGTGATAAAATTCTTGTGTTAAAGTTCCTTGTGTGTAGTTGTTTAAGATGAAAAGAAATGTGATTTCTTAACGTGTATATGTGAGAAAAAGAGGCGAAGGAGAAAGTGAGAAAGAAAGTGTAAGTGACACGTAACTTGATGAGAAAATGTGAATGAGTAAAGGGATGTTTTTAAGTGTCCGTAATGAACTATTGCCGATCCTTACTGATTTGGCCTGGTTTATAAACTTTGATTATAAACTCTTGTAATGTGTGTTCTTAGCGCATATATCTATTGTACATTTAACGATTCAAGAAAAAAAACAACGAACCTCCACTTGTGGATTAACAAATAAATATATATTGCAATATAACATACAAAACAATCATGCAATGAAGTGTAATGATTAAGGAGAAAAAAGTTGTTCCCCTTCAACTGTATTCTGATTTATGATTGAATGTTCGAAAGAGTTTCTCTTGAATAAAAATGTTCAGGATTCTATGTTGAATAGAGTTTGCTGTTAGAATAGAATACGGTTAATTAAGAAATGGGTTGTTTAGAGAAATTAATTCATGAACTTGGCTGAGCCACACAGAGAGATATGTATAATGTGTTACAAAAATCTGTGTCTGTGTGTGCGTTTGAAATATTGTGAGTAAAGTTGTAGATTTGTGTGGACAGGCAAAATAGCTGGACTCTACTGGCGGCTTGTGGCAAAATTTCTTCTTTTAAAGGTACCGGTAGGCTCCAAGCGAAAACGCAGGAAAAACTGATTTAGTATCAAAATGTTTGATTGGTTAAAATTTGACCAATTACTGATGTTGTATCAAAGAAACATGTGAGCAAGTTCACGACCGAAAAATTCAAAGTGATGACTACGATTGCTAAATTGTCTTATAGAAAAGCAGTATTGATTTACTAGCCAATCACAAACGAATAAATTTTGGGCGTGGAAAAGCATAGCAGTCGCTACAAGCCCACATTCCCACCCCACAGATTGACAAAAAGTGGTGAAAGCATTTTTTTTAATATGTCACATAATGTTTGAATTTTGAAGGCCAGTGGACCCTCCTTCCTTTTTTGGTAATTTGGTGTTCAGGTGTCTCAGATGGTGGTGTTGGCTGCCTCTTCCTGATGTTAAGTATAAGCTTCCTCTTTGTTTGCATCCTCTCCAAAAACACACCATTGCTTACATGCTCGGTCTATGATATGCTCGGCATCCTTCTGTTGCCTCAAGTCTCTTCATCTTTGAGAAGAACGTCCAATATCCGCTGCCGTAATCCTCCTGTCTCGCAATACTCTACCCAACTTTTGGAATGTTTCCTTGGTCATCCCAATACGTCTTCGGATCTCAGCTTCGCACTTACCATCCTTTAAACTTCCACACCTACCAGATTTAAGTATTTCCAACCTGTAAATCGTATTTCGGGCTCATCCTTTTACTGATGACCACGCATTCCGTTTTCTTGACTTAGTCCCTTCTTCTCTCTATCCTTCGTTACCTTCTGTAGGAGGTTTTGTAGTTTCTTTTCCGTGTCTGCTATCAGTACT